AATATTGCAGAGCAAATTTATTTTTTACTTCAAAGAAAAATGCTAATTAGCCGATTCACTACTTTTAAAGTTATTGTGAAGCATATGGCGCCCAGTGTGAGATACATCCAACTGCTAAAATAGAGCGAAGAGGAAATTAGCGAAGAATGGGCTGTATGGGGTGAGCACGGGGGTGGGGGAGGAGGATAGGTTCTCAGGCAGATTCTCTAGCCTTTTCAGAATGATTTTATCGCCCATCTCTGCTTCCCGCCTCCTCATTTACCCACATCCCCCACCACCAGCCCTCGGCCGACCTCTTCTAGGACTCCAGCTCTCCCTCCCCCACTTTGGCTGAAATCAGGTGCGCACCTCCGGCTGGCCGCCGGCTCACACCTGGTCACTTCTGCAGGTTCCGTCCCAGCCGTAGCCATCTCGATCTGCGAGAAGTATTTAGAAAGTAAGGTTTGAGGGGTGAAATCCTCACCACGACGGCCAAACTCTCCATAAAACACTAGCTAGTGGGACTCTATAATATGGTTTGCGGAGAAGTACAAGGAAACTGGAAAGGCGGGAAAGGGAGGGCAGGGGCCGGGTGTGCCGAGGCCCTTCGGGTGGGTAACGAGCCTCTCGTCCTCTGCAGACTGGCAGAAGACCGAGGCCCAGAAGCGACGCGAGCAACTCCTGCTGGATGAGCTGGTGGCCCTCGTGAACAAGCGCGACGCGCTAGTCAGGGACCTGGACGCTCAGGAGAAGCAGTGAGTGGGCGGTGGGGTCGGGATCCAGGCTCTGCCGCCTGCTGAGGGGCCGAGAAGTTCGCCGAAAGTTCAGTCCAGAGGTCTCGGGTGGGCCGGGGCAGCCTCCCGCTGGCCCCGAGATCCCCGTCCCCGCTGGGGCTCCAAATGCCGGGCGAGAGGGCAGTGCTGCTCTGCCCTCCACGAAGAAAAATAATTTTGTTTCCTGTTTGACTTCCAGGGCCGAAGAAGAAGATGAGCATTTGGAGCGAACTCTGGAGCAAAACAAAGGCAAGATGGCCAAGAAAGAAGAGAAATGTGTTCTTCAATAACAGCCGGACCAGAATCTTTCCCAACATTTTAGTCTTGGGTCCCCAGACCAGAAAAAGTCAGACTCGTTGTTGATTTAAAACTTTAACATTTTGTTTGGCTGGATTGTACTTCTTTACTACTACCCCCACCCCTTTTCTTCCCTCCTTTCCAGATAATATACAGAACTCCAAAATAGCTTTGTTTAAGGATTTTTTGTGTATGTGAGTTAATCATTTCCTTGAAATCATGTGAAATAGATTTGCACAGATACCTTGTGAGTGATTGGTATTGGGAGTGTTCAAGAAACTGTTCAGAGAAGAAAGAAAAGAAAACCCTTCCCGCATTATGTTCCCTCCTTTTCTGATGGGAGGAAAATTTGAAAACATTTTTGTTGTTGTTGTTGTTGTTGTTAATAGCATAATGATGGTGGGGGGGGGGGTAAAAGAGGGATAAGAAAAATGTCATGAATGATTTTTTTCCAGTCCTGCCATATCTAACACTGACTCTGTTACCTAAATTTTATAGTTAGATCATATTCAATCTGCTTATTAAACTGTGTTCTATTTACCAGTGGGATTTTCTGCAGTTGTTTTGCGTTTCACTGTAAGGATAATAGAGCTCCTCTCCTCTGCTTTCTTCAGAGGATGGCTCTGTAACCTAGCCTGAGACAAGTCCTGTGATTTAAAGGTGAGCTGTGAGGATGGGACTAATTGACATGCATCAGTTTACAAAGACGGGCTTATCATCTGAGAATGCGCCATCTTTTTCTCTGGATAATTATTTATTACTTCTAGCTTGGTTCCTACAATTTTGTTGGGTCTCAACATTGGCTCAAGAATGCTGTTAATATTTATTCTGTATTGATAAAAGTCTGTCTTGCCACTATGAGTAAATCCCCCAATTAATATTTTCTTCTCTAGCATCGCACTGTCATTTTTTGTGAAAATGGTTATCTGTTTATTTATTACAATACTGAGTCATATATAAATTTTCAATAAAAGCAGAAACTTTCTTACCTTAAACACTGCTGCTACTTCCTTGCAATGAAAACTTGACACTGGTTTAAGGAGAAGTCTGTGTATCCATAAGACTTTTCTTGTGGGAAAAAAGGGGTCCTTTTGATTGCAGGACAGGATCCTGGCTGTATTTGGAGCTGAGTAAGTTTACATCATCCCAGAGGGGCCCTGCTGACACACGAATGTGAATTGAAAAGCAGTTAGTCATATTATCTTAAGCATTGTAAACTATCATCTTTGGTTAAGGGTCATCTCTGGTGTTAAAGATTTGAGGAAATTTGTGATTCCACAGCACTGAAAAAATGCTAATATCTTGATGAATTTTCCACGTTAATATTTTCAGTTATAATTTTGCACTCATGAGGAAGAACTATGACTTCTGAGAACTGGCAAGTCTGTAGGTGCTGAAGTGAAAGGAAGTGAAAGGAAGAGGGTTATTGTTGGGGGAGGGGGTTAAGTGTGTGTGCAGATATGTGTGTATGAGATGAGGGGAAGGGAACTTAGCAAAGAAGTTCTAGGCTACAGAAAAAACTGGCGATTTTATGGTAGTTTCCATCACTCCTCTGCAGAGGTGTCCCAAACAAAGAAAGCTCGTTCAACAAGTCTGGAGACAGAGAGGACAGTCCACCAGCATTTAAACTTTAGCCTAGATCACACATACATAAATATACACACATACATCTATGTACGTATACATAGAAATAGTTATGCACACACAAATTCCGCTCGGAAAATCTGTAGCCGCCTTCAATTGCCATTCTTTGAAAAGGATAATGAAAACTTGGTACGGCAGAATTTCTTCATGACAAGGATTTTAAGAAGTTATTGAAAAGTTATCGGAACGAAATGAAATCGGGTATTTGCCCTCTTTCCTCGTTCTCTGGGGGAAGCTCTCAGAACCCTGCTCTACCGCCAGGGAAGCCCGCAGGCGGAAATCGCCAGCCCGAAGCAGCCTGGGGCTTGGGTGGCCAGCGCCCCCCACCCCTTTACGCTGGATTCGGGGAACCTTCCCTCCTGAGAAGCCTCGCAGAGAGGCGGCTGCCCCAGCCGCTCCCGACCTGCCAAGTGACAAGCCTTCCCTAGGCACAGACTTGCTACCCTCTCCCTGCCCCGTCTGCCCCAGGCCCGAGCCTCGCGGGGTTTCCATGGGAGCTACTCCGTGGCGCCCGCACGCCCCGCAGCGGCGGCGCGGCGCGGACCCCCGGGACTAGCCGGGTCAGGCTCGCGGCGAGGGCGCCGCGTCCCGATTTCGTCGCGCCGTGCCCAAAGGCTGCCTCCGGAGCGCAGGCGCGAGCCCAGCATGCCGAGAGGCCGGGAACCCGAAAGCCCGCGCTCTGGGAAGAGAAGCTGTGGGCCGGGGGTCGCCGAGAAGGAGGAGGAGGAGCGTTGGCATCCGGCTGGTTTGGGCACAGCCTGCGGGCCGGTGCAGAACTTCCGCCCCTGGCTAGGATCCCACGGCCGCGGAGCCAAACCCCTCCCCTGTCCCAAGTGTCTTCCAGAGTCTGACCCGGCCTCGAGGTCACCTGGATGCTGGATCCGGGTCCTGAGGCCCAGCTCCCACGCCCCCTCCCCGGCCCAGGGACCTCGAGGTGGGTCGACATGCCCTTTCCCGCGATGCCCCCTCTTCCCCTCACGGCGCTGGGGCCACTACTGGAACGGTCGCGGCTTCTGGCCCAGCGTCTCCCACCTGGACGTTTGCCTAGCGACGGCCGCCTCAGTCCTCTACGCGGCGTACAAGAAACTTTCATCTCAGTCCCTCGCTGTCTACTCTCCACCCTCTCCCCTGTCCTCGCTCTCTTTCTTCTCTTAATCCCGGGGTTTTATGGGTTGAGCATTAAGAAAATTCGCCTGCAATTTGGGATTAGATAAATACTCTCATTAGGGAAAAAAAAAAAAAAAAAATCGTGCTACTTGATACCTCCCAACTTCCCCGAGACCGTGGCAGCATCTGGAACCGAGAGCGCCGGACTCCCGCGTGGCGGGCCCTGGGGACCGCCTGAGCACATTCCAGCGCGCACGGCCGTCCCACCGCGCCGCGCCGGACCTCGGCCCGGCGCTGCACGGCAGGCAGAACGGCCCGGAGGAGGCAGGAGTGCAAGAAGGAGATTGCGGGACGGGGACAAGGGCAGGCGCCCCGGGAACGGAGGGCGAACCCAGGCACACGGAGCGCAGGCCCAGGCTGGGGCAGCGCCGGGCTAGGGACGCAGACGCTGCGGACGCTCACCCTACGACGCCCACAGCCTGGTCCCCTCTAAAAACTCTAAAAACTAGTGCGCTCCAGCCCGCGCCTTTCTCCGGTGCTCAAGGCGGGGGTGTATTTCGTTTCTTTCTTTAAACCTCTGCACCGTCTCGGGGGCTCCGAGCGCGGGCCGCGCGGGCTATTCCCCCCGGGGGCCTGCGCCAGCCTAAGGTGTGTCCCCGGCCGGGTCAGCGCTGCGCTCTGCGCAGTTTCTTTTCCTCTTAAAGCTTTTTCTTTCTCTTGTTTTTCCTTTTCTCTCTTTCTTTTATTGTGTTCTCTCTGTCTCTCTTTCTTTTCCTTTTGTGAATGGGCCGCGGTGTCTTTGTTCTGGAGAGAAGCGCCCGTGTCGCTGACTTTTGTGAACCAGAGAAGGATCTTGTAAAACCTCCTTTTCTCCTTCCTACTCCTCCACTCCCACCCCTCCTCCTTGGCCCCTTTGATTAGATGTTCCCTCATCGTCCAAAAAAAAAATGTAATTTCGTTGGTCTGGCGGCCACTTTCTTTGAACATTAGCTCGCTTTCAGCTCCAACTTCAATTAGAAGGAGTTGATTTTGAGAGATCAACAAAAGAACCGACCAAAGCCTTATTAAAGGTCCTAAGAAGATCTCCCGAGTCCTTTGAGAAGCAGTTAAGGAAACAGTGTGCCCTCCATCATATTCTGTTACCGTATTTTATTCGGACTCCAAAGGAAAGTGTCGCTTGGGGGAGGGGGAAGCACTTTGATGAGCGGCGGCCGCGGCCCCTTTTCACTCAGCGGGCTCCCCTTCCTTCTCCTCCTCCTCGCCCAGCGCCCCGTCCGCTCTCGGGGCCCGACCCCGCGGCCCGGGCAGCGCCGGCGCTCCCCTCCGCGATGCGCCTGGCAGCGCCTTGACTCGCCCTCACACTTACTCCTGTTCAAACTTTTCACTCCGCCTGTTGGGGTGGAGGGGAGGGGGGATTAGGAAGAAGGGGTAGGAATTCCTCGAAAGGGAATAAAGTCGTGCCTAATATTCAGGAGGAGGTGCCATTTAGAAGAATTGTGTTGCTCGGTGTTGGGGAGAAAAGAGTTTTTTGCGCTTTGAGAAGTCTACCCAGGTAGACGTGTTTGAGAAGTTTGTTCGGCTGGGAAATGGGCTTTGCCAGTACGAACAACCCGGGGAAATCGCGTCAAGGAGGCTCCTTCTGCGGCATGTGGAAAAGAAATTGAGGGTAGGGGTCTGTGGCCACGTTTTCCACCAGACTGGCCTTGGTAGAAGGAAACCGGGAAGGAGGGAGAGAGAGTGTGAAAGAGAAAGTTTCCTCTCAAAATCTGTCGATTCAGAAGTAGAGCGTGTGTGTAAGGGAGAGGGTACGCTGGGCTCCAACATTTCAGAGGAAGTGTTTAAGATTTGCAAACACCCTTCGTAGGGAGTGGGAACCCCAGGAGACGCCGAGGAGCAGGTAGGTGGCGGTGCCTCCCCTGCGGGTGCTGTTCCCGGACTCCGGAGTCCCGAGGCGCCGAGGCGGATCTGCGCCCCTGGAGCCGCTCCCGCGCTCGGCAAAGTAGCCTGTGCCAGCACGAGCCGCCCGCGGCGTTCCATCTGCAGGTGGCGGCGTGGGGAGGAAGACGCTGGGGCCCGCGGCGCGGCGAGAGGGGCCGGGGGCCCGCTCTCCTGCAGCCCGCGACTCTGGAGTCCTCGCGCCCACAACCGGGCCGCCGAGACGAGTGGCGCGCGGGAGAACGAGGGAACCGGTTCTCCAGCACCTCGCCTCCTCTCTGCTACTCCCTCCGGGGCGCCGAAAGGGCGAGAGAAGCGCGGGGGCCCCGGGGCGGCCTCGGGACCGACGTCCCCCTCTGCGGCGGGTGCTCGGGCGCTGCGCTCGCCTTCCTCGCCCCGCTCTGGGCCGCGTTTGCGGACCAAGCCCCGAGTTAGCGCGCGACCGGGGCGGGGCGGGCGGGGAGGGCGGGGTGCAGGGGGCGGGGGAGGGCGGGGGAGGGCGGGGGCACGCGGAGGTAACCCCCGGCTCGTGCTGCCATTGCCCGGTTCCCTGTCACTCAGCCCGCGCGGGGCCCAGGATTGGCAGCCTAGCCCCGTTACGCACTCACCTCGCGTTCACATACCCGGGGAGGGCAGTAGAAAGGTGATCAATCTTCATCAGGCTACGTTTCCAATCACCTAAACAACCGGCCAAGACAAGCCACTTCACTCCGACAAGGTAAATCGCTTGATTTATTTAGTTTGCAAAGTGCCTCTGCAGGACTTCCCCAGTCCCCACAGCCCCCACGTTGTACTGGGAGTGCAGCTGCAACCGCGAGCCACCTCCCAACTCTGCCCCTCTCACCCCCACCCTCCCCTTTGCGGCCCCGCGGCTCAGTCCGGGCGAGGTAGTGTCTGAGGGGTGTGTAGGGCTTTGCAAACAAAGTGTCTGTGCAATAAAGTGAAACCTGGAGGGACACGCACAGAGCAACTGGAAAGAAAGAAAAGGGAGGACGGAAGTTGAGAAAAGAAAGAAATCCAGGTGTCCTCGACCAACCGCCCAGCCCGGCGGGTAATTCCTGTGCCGCTCTGTTTTGCAGGTTGGCTGCCCGGCAGGTCTGTGTGAGGGCGCGAGGTAGATGGTGAGCGGCCCCGGCAGCTGAGGGCAGGTAAGGAGAAAGCCGCGGGGCCGCCCGGGACTCTAGGAGCGCGTCGGGTGCTCTTGCCTCCTCCTCCTCCAACGGGTCCCCACTTCCCACATCCCCGGCAGGTGGGCAGGGCTGGGAGCGGCCTGGCCCCCCTTTCGGTGCGCGGAGGACCCCAGAGCTCTGCTGCGGCCCGCGCCGTCTCCCCCGCCTCCTCCGAAGTAACCGAGCTGAACTAATAAGTTTGGAGAAAGTCTTTGAAAACTCAAGCTGCAGCCTAGCAGAGAGTGGCCGCAACTTGAGTCCCATTCTCCTTTGGCCCAAGAGTCCCAGCTGTTTCCCTTTCGTCCCCTTTCCCTGCAAACTGGGTTCCCCCAGCCCAGGCCGTGGGTCCCGGAGGATAGGAGAGGGAGGCGCCCTGAGCTCTAACTTCTTTCCCTGAAGTCCCTGGCCCGGGTGTCAGGCCTGCTTTGACTTCTTGCGAAGCGGTGTGAAGCGACAGGTCCTCTGGGGCCCCAGTCCCACTCGCCCAGCGTCACTTTCTGACCCTTGAGAGTAGAGCCTTATGTTCGGGGCAAGTGGGGAAGCGAGGCTTCGACCATCCAGAGCGGGTCAGCGCGAGCTACGCCGCCGAGGCCTAGTTCTCCAGTCTCAATCGGGCCCCGGAGCCGCGGGTTCAGCCAGTAGGATAGGCAGGGAGCGCACGGGACCTGCTGCACTCAGGCCAAATCTGCGAGACGAGATCCTCTGGGGGCGCTCGGTGGGTCACCTTTCCGCCCCCGCCGGAACCGGCGGTCCGCAGACAGGACTGGGCAGTAAGAAGGACCGGCTGGCGTTGGCAAAGAAGGGCCTGCTGCCGTGGTGAGGCGCCCCTGACCTGGGCCGCGTCCTAGCACCGCCACCTCTACAGTGGCCCCTTATGGCAGCCTCTGTCGGACCCAGGCCCGTAACTGCGTTTGAGGCCTGGTGGGATTCCGGGTGAGCAATCTTTCAGCGGCTGGGCACAGAGAGGTCAACTGGAGGGGTGGCTGTGGGCTGTGGGGCCGGGACCCAGCCGCGGAGACCTTTGCTGGAATGTACTCTGCTAACTGGGCAACGCGTGCCGGGGAGGCCCAGATGCTGCTCTCCCTCCGCGGAGCCTCGCCTTGGTTCCCTGGAGTCCACCTTTCCGTCCCACTTTCAAAAGCATTTCAAAGAAAACGAAACAACGCCTCATGCCCTGGGCAGCCTGCCGCCCGGGTGCTGTGGAAATGTTTGCTTGCGCAGTATGAGGTCAGCTCCTACCCGACTTAGAATTTTGCCTAGACTTGGGACCATGCACACTCCGCGGTTCAGGCTCTGACCTCCCCAGAGCTTGGCCCTGCTTTTAACCTCTCCTCACTCCTAGCGACGCCTTACGAGTGTCTTTGGCCCATTCCAAGCCCGAAAAGAAGCGGTAGCGATCCAGAAAAGTTTACTTTTCAAAGAAGCTGTGGTCTTTGGTCTAAGGCCTTGCAGAGCCGAGGTGACAGCCCACTGCCGTTCCATAGCCTGCATCCCCTCCCCATCCCGTGGTTCCTTGTCTCCGACAAGACCAGGAAGCTGAGATGGCTCCAAATGATGATTTCCGTGTGACTTGTGTCTCCACAGGCCGGGCTCCCAGACGCAACAGAGCTTGAAGGACTGCGCGGTGGGAGCCCCGCACTGCGCCCGGCCCGTGGCCCCCCTGGATCCGTCGGGGCGCCTCCACCCGGCTGTTAGCATGATGTCTTACCTCAAACAACCCCCATACGGCATGAACGGGCTCGGCCTGGCCGGGCCCGCCATGGACCTCCTGCACCCCTCCGTGGGCTATCCGGGTGAGCACCGGCCCCTGCCCCCAGCCCCTGCCAACCTTGGGGACCCTCAGTCTCTCGGGTTTGAGCACACGCTTTGTTGCCCAGCAGGCCCAGGGAGCCCCTGCCTAGTCTGCTTACAATGCAGGGCAGGCTGCAGTCTCACAGGGCAGAGTCGGAGTCGGTGTGATAGGCCAGGGCGGCGAAAACGTGCAACGTGTGCCCTGCGGGCCGGCCACACCGGCAACCTGTATCCTGCCGTGGTCCCACCGCCAGCACAGGGCGCTTTTACCGACAGATTTATTTCCCACGGGTGGCTTTTGTGCTGTGTGTGCGTGTGTGAATCCATTCCTTTCCCTCCAACATGGAATGAGGAATCTGGACACTCGCTAGGCCCTGAGAGGAAGAGCCGAGCTTCCCTTATGGGAAGCGACTGGCTAAGCCGAAGAAGGGGAGTTCTCCTTCCTTAGTTAAATTGTCCTCTAGTCCGGTCGCCTGTACCAACTTTTGCATAGCTAATGTGGACGGCTTGAACCGAATCCTGGCTTGCTTTTCTGGTTCCCATTCCTTCACCCCCATTTATTCCCTCAGAAGGTGTTTTCCAGGTCGCGTTTCTGCGTATCCCTTCCCCATCCTTCAGCCAGGGAGGGGCCGGGGAGGCGCAGTGGTGGAGGGAGGGAGATTGTATAACTTCTCTTCCTTTCTTAATTTCCGAGGGGCAGGGAAGGGGGTAGCCCTGGAGTCTTGGAGACACTGACTCCCAGTCGCACTCACTTTCTTCCACCTGTGGCCTCTCAAACTCGGCCTCTCAGTGCAGTGTCTCTTGCTGGGAGCTTGGCTTCCTTTTGCAACGGCCTCAGGGCCTGCCGGGGGCCTGTCCGCGTCCTCTAGCGCAGGTCCGTGTGGCCACCGCTGACCCGAGGCGCTCCCGCGTGTCCCCTCAGCCACCCCGCGGAAGCAGCGGCGGGAGCGCACCACCTTCACGCGCTCGCAACTGGACGTGCTGGAAGCGCTCTTCGCCAAGACTCGGTACCCTGACATTTTCATGCGCGAGGAGGTGGCGCTCAAGATCAACCTGCCAGAGTCTAGAGTCCAGGTGCCCACGCCGGGGGCTCCAGGGTCAGGGTAGGGGCGTTGGGGCTGGTCGGAGAGGGCTTGGGCAGGGTGGTCTGGTGTGGGAGCGGGCTTACAGACTGGGCAGCAGCTCTCAGACTCCCCCTAGCGCTGGGCCCAGGCCTGGAAGAGGGGGCAAAGTTAAAGGAACTAGTTTAGAGCCCTGCATTTGGCCCTTGGCTCCGGGGCGCCTTCGGTATCGAAAGTCCTTTTTTACGATTGCGGGAGAACAAGTGAGGCTTCCGAACGTAAAATGCCCTTGCCCCTGCTTCTTTGGCCGCCCCAGGACCTGGCAGTTTTCTTCCGGGTCCTGAATTCTGCCTCCGCCCTTGCCTTGCATCCCTGGGATCCTGAAAGTGGAAGAGTGGAGCTTGGCCGCTGGAGCTTGGTGGCCTGTCTGGAAGTGCCTTCCACGGGTGGCGCCAGTTTGATTAGACGCTTCCTTTGCCCGGAGAGGATGCCGAACGCAAAACCTGGCTACTGGCTTTGCTGTTTCTGTTTTTGCGATGAAAGGGCCCCGAAAATACTGTTCGTATTTTAACTCAGAACTCTCCTCAAGGGCCTTTCATCTCGCCGGCTTTCCCGGGAGGCTCGAGAAAGAACCTGACATGCCATGCCATGTACCGGGGCCCTCCAAGAGGAGTGAGAACTTTTATGACTGACTACTATTTGGTTCCCCACTTGGAGCCAAGAAGCCCAACGAAATTCTGCCCAGGCTTCCTTTCCCACTTCCCCGAGTACTGCCTCTGTTCAGCATCCCGTCCCAAATTGCTCCTGCTCCCACCGAAATTTTCGCTCTCTGCAGCACTGGGCCTCCAGGGGCCTACTAGCTCGGGCCTCAGACTTGGTGTCTGTCCGCACTCCGCCGCCTGCTCTGTGCTCTCCGCTGTCCTGAGCTCTATTTAGAAGACAGGGCCTCCAAACATACACCGGGCTATTGGGAAGCAGCCAACAGCAGCAATTTAGAGATGGCTGAACTTTTGGCTGGACAGACGCAAATGTTCCGCCCTGGGGCAGGGTTGAGCTGGGGGTGGGGAGGTGCACATCTCTACTTTGCCAGAGGAGGGTCTTCGAGGAGAAGGATGGGGGAGAGTCGAGGAGCTGGGAACACACGGGCAGGGTCTGGCCGGGCCGGAGATGGGGAGGGGTGGAGGCTTCATAGGAGAGGGAGGCGAGATCCTAGGCTGGGTTGTGGGTCCAAGAGTCAGGGAGAGTAAGTAGCAAGCTCTACTCGCTCCCATGACACGCTCTTCCCAACTCGGCTCGCTGCAGGTCTGGTTCAAGAACCGCCGCGCCAAATGCCGCCAGCAACAGCAGAGTGGGAGCGGGACCAAGAGCCGCCCAGCCAAGAAGAAGTCCTCCCCGGTGCGGGAGAGCTCGGGCTCGGAAAGCAGCGGCCAGTTCACGCCGCCCGCTGTGTCCAGCTCCGCCTCGTCCTCTAGCTCGGCGTCCAGCGCCTCCGCCAACCCGGCGGCTGCAGCCGCTGCAGGCCTGGGCGGGAACCCGGCGGCGGCAGTCCCGTCGTCGTTGAGTACGCCGGCTGCCTCCTCCATCTGGAGTCCGGCCTCCATCTCGCCCGGCTCGGCGCCGGCGTCGGTGTCGGTGCCCGAGCCATTGGCCGCGCCTAGCAACGCATCGTGTATGCAGCGCTCGGTAGCCGCAGGCGCCGCCTCAGCCGCAGCCTCTTATCCCATGTCCTACGGCCAGGGCGGCAGTTACGGCCAAGGCTACCCTGCGCCCTCCTCTTCCTACTTTGGTGGCGTGGACTGCAGCTCATATCTAGCGCCCATGCACTCGCACCACCACCCGCACCAGCTCAGCCCTATGGCACCGTCCTCCATGGCCGGCCACCATCACCACCATCCGCACGCGCACCACCCGTTGAGCCAGTCCTCAGGCCACCACCACCACCATCACCACCACCACCACCAGGGCTACGGCGGCTCGGGGCTCGCCTTCAACTCTGCCGACTGCTTGGATTACAAGGAACCTGGTGCCGCCGCTGCTTCCTCTGCTTGGAAACTCAACTTCAACTCGCCTGACTGTCTGGACTATAAGGACCAAGCCTCATGGCGGTTCCAGGTCTTGTGAGCCCGGGAGTGGAAGGAAGAGAAGAAACGCAACTACCTGCGCCCTCCGCGATCCCCGTCCTATTTCTGCTGCTGCTGCACCGCCCGCCTTGCCTCAGCTTCTCCAGACCTGAATTTTCATGCCCCCAAAAGATGCCCATCGCCTGCAGTGCCGCCCTCATCTTTGTACCACTTGCTTGGGGGATGTGCAAACCCGCCCGCCCCTTGGATGAGGGAACCGGTGCTTAGGCTTGGCCCACAAGTTCTATCAGGGTGAGCTGTGTGCTCCCCTTCTCAACCCTTGACTGACTCCTAAGTCACCCTCTTCCAGTCTTTCTGGACAGTTATTATGCACTTGCAGCCTTCGGAGGCTCTTCGCTCTGACTCGCTGTTTGAGCCCTACACTTTTTATTTATTCTTTCTGGACACTGGAGTCACTAACTGGCATGTCTGCCTACCGGAGTGCACCCACACTCTACCAGAAATCAAAACAACCACTAAGTGTTTCTCGCGTGCAGACTGCCGCCCCTTCAGCTGCCCTCGGCCCCGCTCCCGGCCTGCAGGCCAGAGCTTCCCGGCGTTTCCTCCTCCCTAGCCGGATGCGCTGGGGCAAGGCCGGAGGGAGGAGCGCGCCTCCGGCCTCTCGCGCACAGCCCCGCCCTGCGTAGAACTGGCTCAAGCTTCCGCCTCGGCGGGAATGCTGTACATAGTCGGGTCCGTTCCAGGGGCCACTTAAACTTTTTAGTTGCTGTTGGTTGAACTGAGCATATCTCGTTTTAGCGCCCAGGAAATAGAACTTTAAGATATATACAGCATATATATATACATATATATAAAACAAAGCAAAAAATATTTTCCCTCTGTTCCTCTTCCTAAAACGATGGCGCTTTTACTTTTTCAGTTGTTGCAAAGCTGTCCTGCCTCTCACCCCTTCTCGCTCTGTGTATTTATTAAAGAGAATCGCTTGGTTCCAGGAAGCTGGGCGCGGAGGATCGGGAGGGTCCGGGAGCGTGGAGGAAACAGCCAAGTCAGGGTACGGGGGAGGGGATGGGGGGGCCCCCCCGCAGGCTGAGCCCTTCACCAGGTCTAAGCACAGGGTCGCAGTTCCTGTTTAGAGACCAAAAACGAAAGAAAAGAAAAAAATAAGTAAAAATACAGCATTATGGGAAAACAAACCAACCCAGGCCCCAAACCCCAGTTCCAATTCCTCTGTCGGCTTCTCTCTCTTTAAACAACCCTGTTGTCTAGTGAGTTTTTAGTGCACCTTCGTTCTCCGAAATCTGCGGAGAGCCCCGCGCCTGTGTATCAATTTTGGCTTTGGCCGTTTCGTCCAGTAGGTGGGAAAGTAAATTGTAAATTTGATTTGTCCGATGTGAAGATCACAAATTACTTGTTGAAATGTAAGGCAGTCCCCCTCCTCCCCTTTTATCTACATTATTTGCCGAAAATAAATGCAAATTAATGAACGGCTTGTCAGTGTTGCTCTTCTGATTCCAGCCCCAGGTCGCGGTCGCGGGGGGCCTAAAAGGAGGGAAGCTCCCGTGTTAATAACCCGCGTGTTAATGACCTGTATGAAGCTGGAAGCCAAGGAATCGGGCGGGAGGACGTGGCAAGAGGAGTCCCCAGAAAAGTTCTCTTAGGGCGTGTCCTCCCCTCCGGGTCAGCCCGGCCTCTTCCCCCAAGCGTTTTGACCCCGCATCCCCTCTCCCCATCCAGGACAGAGACAGGTGTCAGGACTCAATTCCCGAAGCAATTCCTTTCTCTTCAGACGCAGGAGCCTGGCACTGATTTCTTCACCCTAATTGCCTGCACCAGAAAGAAGAGGGGGAGGGGAAGAGGGTCGGGAGGCGGGAAAGGATAGCTCTGTAATGCTCTCAGAGCTGAGCCAAAAAGGAAAAGAAAACAAAACGACAAAAAACCGATCCGTGTCCTGCATGTTGGCAGCAGACAACCTTCCTTTCTGCTGAGCTGTCCCGGGTGGCTTCACGGCGGCTGGGGGATCCGAGTCATTCCTTCCACGTGCTAAGATGTCCCTCTAAACCGTCAGCCCCCTGCCAGAAGTAGCCAAATTATCTTTGTTCTAATTGTGAAGTTTCTTTAAAACGCAAACACAAAATCTAGAAAAGGCGACAAGGATGCGTTTTCCTCTGGCACGGGAAGAGGACTCCGGGCTTGCAGGGGGTCGGGAAGGACGGTTCCACCCTCCCCGGAGGGAAGACAGGGGTAGGACCGGGGATGGAGTGGGCCGATCACCCAGAAAATGCAGAGCCCCGATTTGTCCAGACTCTGGCCTGAAGCCTCCTGGGTGGAAGGCTGAGAAGCTGCTCAACTGGTCCCCGGGCGGGAAGGAAATAAGGAAACAACGAAAAGTTTCCTGCAAAGTGACCAACACATCCTATTCTTTTTATTCCGTGTGAGACCTGAGAACACAACGTGAGGCCGGGTCTGGAGAACGACGCCTCCCCCAGGGTCCCGCGCCGCGCGAGGTCTCAGGGCTGCGAGCCCGGCCGTAGAAGAGCCTCCTCGGCCGCGTGGCCGCGTCCTCCCTCCGGCCTCCACAGGCCCGGCCCGGGCGCACCGCGCCTTCCCACTCCAACAAACCTCTCATCCCCGACTCCGCAAAGGCCCGCGGGAGGGCGCAGCCGTCGCCCCGCCGAGCCTGGCCCTGCGGCGCCACCCGCGGAGGGAGACCCCAAGCGCAGGTCCCGGCCGCGCCCGCGCCGACTCCTCCTGGGGCAGCGCGTCCAGCTAAATGGGGGGCCGAGGCCGACCTGCCGGCGTGCGCCGTGGCCCCTCGGGTACCGGTCCCGCACGTGCCGGAGAGGCCAAGAGACCGGGCCGGCGGCCGGAGCAAAGAGGCTTCCAGCTCGCGCCGCAGGGGCCTGGGCACCGGGTCTGCAGGGCCTCCGGGGCGCTCTCCTCAGCCGACCCTGCCTGTCCCGCCCCGGGGCCGCCCTGGCTCCCGCAGCGGCTGCCAGTGCGGCTCCAGGCCTAGGGGCTAGGCCGCGCCCGCCCGCAGCTCCTTGAGCAGGTTCTGTGCGGCCCAGCCCGTCCTCTCGGCGGCTCGAGGGAACGAAACCAGGAGACCCGCCTTCGCACCTGCTCGGACAACGGTGTGGCCTCCGGAGCAAGGTACCCAAACCCCTGGGCTTCAGTTTCGTCGCACTTGCTATTTGGCCCCGCTCGGCCTGGGAAGTTCCAGAACTTCACACTTTGGGCCTAGACTGCGGGCGGGTAGGTGAGACGCGTTCCCCTGCCCCGGCCGCTCGGCGGCGTCTAGAAGCTTCGGCGCCTGTGTACTTAGATGGGGATGGCGGCCGGGCGCACGGAGGCCCGACGGGAGTTCCCGCCTGGGGGATGAGGCTTCGACAACGGGCACGTGCTTCTCCCAGGGCCTCCCAGGCTGTTCGAGGACCCGCGGCGCTGAGAGGAAACCGGGAGCCGGAAGGCGCTGGGACACCTCCAGCCGCCAGGACGCGGGAGCCTGGGGGCGGGGGGTAGGTGCGTGGCCGTGGCGGGGCGGCCGGAAGTCGTCAGGCGGGCAAGGCGGGGGCGCCCACGCTGGCCCCGAGTCCCGGGCGGCAGCGGCGGGAGCGTGGAAGGTCCCTGCCCTCCCGGCCACTTGTTAACGGAAAGGTTCTCTGAGAGCCGTCCTCAGCTCACTCTTCTCCAGAGGGAAGAGGTTTGTTTTGTTTGGGCTTTGGTGTTCTTGACACAACTGAAGCAACTAGAATGAAGCAACTTAAGGAGATGTAGTAACTTCAGAACGTTTATGGGAACGTTAAGACGTCAGCAATTTTCTTTCTTTGAGGGTTAAACGAAATGGTCGTGTTTCCTACTCCTGCCTTGTCTTCTCTGCCCCTGCTGATGGGGCAGAAACGTCTACCGTCAAGTGACCGTGTGGGAGGTGCTTCAGGGGTAAAAGATAGGTCGTATTTGTGATTTTTTTAAAGAATTTAAAAAAAAATCTTAAAACCATCTCAAGAGCCCTGCATTAGTTTGCTGAGGCTCTGAAGTGATTCGGGGAGGTTACTCGTTCGTTGTGGGGCTTTTCAGTGTTCTTTCGCAGCAGCTGCTGAGGGTGTGTGGAGACAACCCTTCTCTAAATTGTGAGTGGCTTTCCTTTTTTTGAGAAAAAGTCCTTAAAGCTATATATTATTAAACGTGAGAGGAAACGCAGGTAAAAAGACACCGAATGTCAGCAAATTCGTGTCTGCTACATTACAGAAACCAAAAACACTGAGCTAGTTTCATTTTTTGTGTCAAAAGCAGATTACTAGTTTTTTTCAGGTGCTTTGTTCAATATACCAGTTTCTCAGATAAATTGTGATTTTTTTTTCAATTGTGAAAATAAATTCACTACTCACTTTGGCAGAATTAGTGTTATTGATGTCCTTAAGCACTAACAGGCACTAAGATTTTCTTTAGAGATGTAGAAATAAAATGTATCTGGTATATTAAATGTAGTTAATATGTACGTTATTGGTAAAGAAAATCTGTATCATTACTATTCAAGACCAAAAAAATCACTTGGCTTCTGTTGCAGAATTAATTTAAGAACAGCAACAAGATATCTTTATAAAATTCTTTAATTGAAAACCGAACAAGTTCTGAACAAGTTATTCTATATTTTCCATATTTTCTCTCCCTTCCCCCGCACATTTTAAGGTCTAAAATGAGAATGAGAAAAGCTTATTAAGTTTAACTAAGGAATATTTATATTCAACAATTCAATACTTAAAGTAAAAACCACCAACAAAAATGAATAGTAAATAGTAGCAGTGCATTGCTTATTCGACAACAAGAAAACATCTCCATTATCCTTAGGAAAGAATCTGTTTAATTAAATGTGTAGGTATCTGGAATATGCTTTTTTGAAAAAGAGAAGCTTTTGGGGGCAGGTGCTGTGTTTAGTACATGGTTCCTGAAAAAGCAGTTATGTCTCTTAATTGTCCAGTTGATATTTACTGATATCCGAAAAAAGAATTGGATTTTTTTGTGGAGGAGGGGAGCATGCCATTTTGGCCTAATGATTCTTTAATCATGCTTTAAGAATGAGTTGGATTACACTTAAAACACCTTAGATGCACTCTTTCAAAAGTTTTTAAAAAGGAAAAATATTTCCCCCAAAAATCTTTGGTAGTTTAAGTTAAATGGCAGTTATATAACATAGCCAAAGTTCAAACTGCTTTTAAATGTTTTTAATTTTTTTCTCAGGGAAAAAATAAAGAAGTGTACCGTGAGCTCACAACTAAAATGCATATCCTCTAATTATGAAATTACACATTCATGTTTCCAGGACTCTTACTTCAAAGATAAGGATATGCTTAAAAATATTTTGGAGTTCTTCCTAATCAAATAGGACTCAGGCTCCATTTAATCAATGACAACCCATCAAAATTTAAACATTGAAAATCTATTGAGTTTCTAAAAATTGTACCCCTCCTATCCCCTTTGGATAATTTACTTGGAGGGTGGTATAATCAAAGACGCAAAGTTCCTTTCCATTCCAAAGGTCATAAATACTTCTTTTTTCAAAGGCTAATCTTTATTGAACAGCTTATGAAGACTATTTTAGAAAATTTTAGTAATTATTTTAAAGTGGATTGTAAAATTAGGATTTAGAAAACTTGAGTCACAATTTTTTCAGGATTGAAGGGGAGTATAAATCATAACTAATTTTGACATTTAGGATAAAATTAATTAACGTGTAGCAATAAATGGTCTGTGCTTCAACAATTTGGTGTCTGAAGAGCTTATAAAGTAATTAGTACGCAAATATTCCTATGTATGTTCAAAGCTCTAAATTCTTATAAGATATACCATCATCTGTCATAGCTATTTAAATGTAGGAATCATATTTTCTTTTTAAAGTTTATTTTAAAGATTTTATTTTGAAATATACATACAGAAGAAAGTATAACAGATATATACAGTTTAAGGAGAAAGGGAAATATACATGAAGCAACAAGTTCTTAACAAATACTTTGAAAAGTAGATTCGAAGTTGGTTACAATATCAGTGTTTTAATCTGATGTTACATAAATTGTCTGTTTATGTTTGAGGGTTTTTGTTAAATTCTTTAGAGTAGTGATTATTAATATATAGGGACACCTTTTTGAGGCCGATAATTAAAATCATAGGATTTAAGAGTTCTAAAAGTCTTTGAAAATCCGTAGGGTTTCTTTTCTGATGGAAGAATGGTGCTTTATGTCTGTTTATATTTTTAATGAAAGAGCACCAAAAGAATCCATCATGTTTCCTAAGCATGGATATTTGACCTCATCCAAAGGTATAGTTTCAACCTTGGTTTCATTACTGGTGACCCTCAAATTCATGTCTCTAGCTCAGGCTTCTCTGTTGGGCTTCATATACTTGTACATCCACTGAAAAGAGGCCTTGGATTTTAGGTGTCATGAAGTTAATGATATGATGTCTGGGACTTGCTTCAAAATAACAGAGGAAG